TTTATAGTATCTAATATTAAGCACAATTGAAATAAAAATTTGTTAATAAAATTGACAACTGCTTTATTTATATAAAACTTTGAATTAAAAATTTCCAGCCGGCTAAGCCGTTTAAAAATTCCTTAGCCGGCTAATCCAAGTCCAGCCGGCTTAGCCGGCTAAGCCGTTAAATTCCTTAGCCGGCTGATATCACTATAATATGCGTGAATTAATAATACCAACGATCGAAAATTTTTTATAGTTTTTTTATATTTCGATAATGTATTGTTATTTATATTCCGATATTGTGTTGTTATTAATTAATTATGTAATTATATATATATTATGTAATTATAACAAATTTATTACGTTTATTTGTATATATATAAAAATATTTACTGATTTTATTCTAATACACAATAAATCTCGGTTTAACGGATAGTTTGGGCAATTAGGGAAAATTTTCCAAAAATCCGTTGAACCGAGATATCGAGAAGGTGTTTATTAAGGACAATTATGGAACCGTTCTTTGAACTTTATCCGTTAAACCGAGATTTTTAATTAGTATCTCGCTAAATCGAGATTCACTGTGTATTTTGATTTTGAAGTTTTTTTATCTATATTTATAATATTTTTTTGTTTTGTTCTTTAATTCTATTATCGATGTTATATCATTTTATTAATAGATAACATTGCTATTCTTCTTTCCATATCAAAATTCTTGGTAAATTAAGCTTGTTAAATTTTTTTACAAGGAAGAATTCTTTCTAAATCCGCAGACGAAAACATGGCCTTTTCTATTTTTGGTAAACAAGACCAGCTAATTATTGATAATGGGTAGGATGTGCCAAATTTGGTAATTTTAATTTCCTTTATATAAATTAACCGGCATTTTTATTTTTCTTTCGAATTTTGTGCGACTATAAATCCCCTATAAATATTTGGTTCACTGATGATAAAAAAAAAAAAAAAAAATTATTAGTTCCTTTAGATTTGCAATTAAACACTTAAACACTTTTTACAAAGCGTAAACAAAAACGTTTACGCTTAACAATAACTCAAAACAAATCTTTGCTTCTTTACTAAGCAAAACCTTACTAGAATTTATTTTTTCGAGAGAAGAAAAAACGAAACGTACGGCTGTTAAAAGAAAGTGACTAAGTTCAAAGAAAAGTAAAAGTAAATAAAAAACGGACTTAGAAAAACCTTTATCGCTTTTTAAAAGGGTCACATTATTTATCATAAGTGTGCTTGCAAATCATTTAAGCTTTCTAGAGAGACCATTTTACACAGTTGTTCAAATGATAAGGCAAAGTAGGAAAAAAAAATCAAAATGCGATTAAAATCATTAAAATTGCAATTAAAAATAAATGCAGAATCTATTTCAGAGGAGGAAAAATGGTTTAAAAATCAACTTAAAAATGAATGTATTTTATTTCTTGATTATAAATACTTTCAAAATATTAAAATTATTGATGGTGGATCATTTGGAATAATTTCTTGTGCATCTTCAAAGCATCATCAAGGGCTTGTGGCATTGAAATCCATTAATGTTGACCAAAAATATACTCTTGAACAACTTCTTAACGAGGTAAATCTTTTTTATTTAATAAATTTATTATATATTACCAAAAACATTTACAAATTGATTTTTTTAAAGGCAAAACAACATTGTAAAGTAGAACATCACAGTAATATATTAAGAT